AACATTTTAGTCGTTCGAAGCTGGCCCCAGCATCACTTCGAACCTCCAGGTTTGATCTGAACCATGCACGGGGGGGGGGGTAATCTCCTGAAGTGAAAGTCCTCAGGCTTCAGCTGCCGTCTTTTCGTGAGGCCAGGTTGCTGTTGGTTCGAGGCTGACGGGTGTCGACCAGAGTGAAATTATCCTGAGGGCCAAGTCAGCATGTTTAAAGTAATCTAATGGCCTCACAGAGACTTTGAAAATACATTTCCTTTAGAACAGGAAGAGTTCTCAGAATTTTTCTCTTATAGCGTACTTAACGTTCTTGATAAAACATGTCTAACAAAACTCTTTAGAACTTTAAGACATACTTTCTCTAAACTGTATCCTGGGACAATAACCTAAATTTGCAACAACAAAAACGTTATGTTTGCTTTTGGAGTCTTCAAGTGTTCATTCTACTTCTGGAAACACAACTTAAAGCCAGGGGGGTATTTGTCCAAGATGTTTGATTGATTGATAAAATGCAGGTTTTCATCAACTTGTTTTTTTAGTTAGGAATTTTAGGGGTCTGGATGATGGTTGTCCAGGGCCACACGGGGCCTGTGAGCCACATGTTGCCCACGTAAATGTTAAATGGACTGTACCTATACAGCTCCTTTCTATCTGATCCAGACACGCAAAGCTCTTTACAACAGTCTGTGCCTCATTCACCCGTTCATACAGCTCTATACCAGATCTCTACAAAGATTAGTCAGTGCTTTAGATCACATTCAAACACTGATGGGACACACATCGGAGGCATTTATGGGTTCAATGTCTTGCCCAGGGACACTTTGGCATGTGAATGCTGGTGGAATCGAACCCCCAACTCTCAGATTGGAGGACGACTGCTCTAACCACTGAGCCACAGCCGCCCACGTGTGTTAAAGCTTCACCTCCTGACGGTTCCTTTAGACTCCTACATACATACAAGCCATCCTGCAGCACCTCCTCCTGTTTAATCTCAAGAAACGTTCAGATCGGAGCTGTCCATGCTGGTTCTGATCATGTAGTGGTCATCCCACTTGCCTGCTTTTTTCATCCCCCCGTTCTGTTTTTGGTCATGAAAACATGAAGCTGGGATCAGTGTCCTCATTGTTATCAGTGCTGGTGTGTGTCAGCTGAGCCATGTGGATGTGTGTGTTTGTGTCGATGTTGGAGCATCTTGATGTTGTTGCCTGCACCGTCCTCAGAGCCTCCTTGTTGTCCACTTCTCACAGTCTCAGTCCCGTTCAGTACATCCAGTTCCTCACTGGGCTGCCAGCGAGTTTCCAGACTGTTTCCAGATGTTTGCCAGGGTTCTCAGTTTCCTCCAGAGTTATTTCTGTCAAAAACATCCAGTCACCTGGAACTCGTGTCAGTTTATTTTCTGTGAGACAACCTCGTAAAGATCCAGCAGTGAGATCTGGACTTCACAGGACCCATGTCCACCTGGATCCAGCTTCAGGTCTTCATCCTGCAGCAGAGCTCTTCCTCAGTCAGCATTTTCTAGGTCTGAAAAGTTATGAGGTAAAAACAAAAGACTGTGAAAACATCAGTTTTCAGACTTTACTGCCTCTAGAATTTATAAAAATGTAAATTTCTTTCAGTTGTTGAAACGTGAGATCATCAGGAGATGGAACACCCATTTATACCGTTCATCTTTTTCACCAGTGAACACTTTGATCATTTAGCTGCTTGAGTTAATACATTTAGTCAGATTTATTTGTTGGGTTGATGAGAATTTAATAAAATAAGATCAAAAATATTTAATGTAGGGAAAGTTTCTTACATTTCATAAGTAGAGAGGGTGATATAAATAGATATGTGTTTTTATGTTCTAAAATGAAATCAGCATTGGAAGAAACAAACTGCAGGCAATGTGACTAGATCAAAGGTTGTAATCTCTCGACACATTGTAGAATCAGAAAAGTATTTAACATCACCTAATTTTACATGAGTTTATACGTACAGGTGCTGGTCATAAAAGTAGAATATCATGAAAAAGTTGATTTATTTCAGTAATTCCATTCAAAAAGTGAAACTTGTATATTATATTCATTCATTACACACAGACTGATATATTTCAAATGTTTATTTCTTTTAATGTTGATTATAACTGACAACTAATGAAAACTCCAAATTCAGTATCTCAGAAAATTATAATATTGTGAAAAGGTTCAATATTGAAGACACCTGGTGCCACACTCTGATCAGCTGATTCACTTGAAACACTTGTAAAGATCTTTAAATGGTCTCAGTCTAGTTCTGTAGCTACACAATCATGGGGGAGACTGCTGACTTGACAGTTGTCCAAAAGACGACAATTGACACCTGCACAAGGAGGACAAGACACAAAAGGTCATTGCTAAAGAGGCTGGCTGTTCACAGAGCTCTGTGTCCAAGCACGTTAATAGAGAGGTGAAGGGAAGGAAACGATGTGGTAGAAAGAAGTGTACAAGCAATAGGTATAACTGCACCCTGGAGAGGATTGTGAAACAAAACCCATTCCAAAATGTGGGAGAGATTCACAAAGAGTGGACTGCAGCTGGAATCAGTGCTTCAAGAACCACCATGCACAGATGTATGCAAGACATGGGTTCAGCTGTCAGATTCCTTGTGTCAAGCCACTCCTAAACAAGAGACAGTGTCAGAAGCGTCTCACCTGGGACTGCTGCTGAGTGGTCCAAAGTTTTGTTCTCTGATGAAAGTAAATTTTGCATTTCCTTTGTAAATCAAGGTCCCAGAGTCTGCAGGAAGAGAGGAGAGACACAGAATCCATGTTGCTTGAGGTCCAGTGTCAAGTTTCCACAGTCACTGATGGTTTGGGGTGCCATGCCACCTGCTGGTGTTGGTCCACTGTTTTCTGAGGTCCAAGGTCAACGCAGCATCTACCAGGAAGTTTTAGAGACTTCCTGCTTCCTGCTGCTGACCAACTTTGTGGAGATGTAGATTTCATTTTCCAACAGGACTTGGCACCTGCACACAGAGCCAAAGATACCAGTACCTGGTTTAAGGACCATGGTGTCCCTGTTCTTAATTGTCCAGCAAACTCTTCTGACCTTAACCCGATAGAAAATCTACCGAGTATTGTGAAGAGGAAGATGATACACCAGAGCCAACGATTCAGAAGAGATGAAGGCCACGATCAGAACAACCTGGGCTCTCAGAACACCTGAGCAGAGACACAGACTGATCCACACCGTGCCACGCTGCGTTGCTGCAGTAATCCAGGCAAAAGAAGCAACAACTAAGTACTGAGTGTGTAGAGGAAATGCTCGAGTGGTCTAAACACCTTTTAATAGGTGTTATGCTAACCGTTCAAGGTTATGTAATAAATGTTGACCGACCTCAATCAAAAGAAATATGAAAGTACTTGGCACGTTGTTTTCCCCCTCACTCAAACAAAGACAAGAATTTAGTCATTTAAATACACAATTCTGTAATGTTTAATTTTATTTTTCCTTCGTTACTATGGCAACCCCAGTTCTGGTATTAGTTCTGGTATTACGGCAAAGTTTGGTTCTTTGTTAGAGATTTCCATTGGAGACTGAATGCATGTCTTCTCAGAAAAGAGGATTAATTAGCACAGAGAGTTAATTATTATATTCAGTATGTCAGGATGTGTTGACTCCCAGATTTGTAGATTAGCACACAGAGAGGGGTGTAAGAAACGGTTCCTGTTTCAGAACAGAATGCAGAATTTGTCTTGACTCAGATTAGTAGAGAGAGTGAGGGTAGGAGACACTGTCTTGTGAGGATGTTTTGTCTTTTTGAGTGACATTGGTTGGATGCTACAAGTGCTGTACATGCTCAGACTTTTCAGTTGGCCAACATTTCTAAAAAACAACAAAGTCCATGCTCAATAATCCAGGTATTCAATCCAACAGTTTTCAGGCAGGTCAGATGACTTGACTGAAAAATGTTGGATTTGACAGTTTGACAAGACTGTCAACAAGGAAGAGGGTCGGCAATGGAGGAGGGGCGTACCAAAGAGACCATCTTATCACAAGCAGAACTGGTTTGTTCCACTTTGGAGTAAGCTGTTGGGGGAAGAATCAGTTTTGTGTTGTGTGTTTCCTTGACTGATGAAGCCTTCTGGATCGAAGACGAAACGTTTCAGCACAAAAAAGAAACTGTCCAGATGACCTGACTGAAAAATGTTGGATTTCTAAAAATCCCTTTTTATAATTGGTTTTAAGTAATATTCTAATTTTCTGAGATACTGAATTTGGTGTTTTCATCAGTTGTCAGTTATAATCATCAACATTAAAATAAATAAACATTTGAAATATATCAATCTGTGTGTAATGAATGAATATAATATACAAGTTTCACTTTTTGAATGGAATTATTGAAATAAATCAACTTTTTCATGATGTTCTAGTTTTATGACCAGCACCTGTATGTTACAAGCTGGTGTTCAAATCATTCTAAATTTGACTAGAAATGTAATAAATGTTATGAATTTTGTTGAGACCCTGAGCAGCTTCTCTGAGCTGTTGTTTGATGTGTGATGGTAGGACTGGGCCCCGTCTTCACTGATCCGGTCCAGATTTTCAGATGTCAGAACGGTTGGCCCATGTCTCCAGCAGCAGCTGCCATTCTCCGAGGTGTGCAGCTTTGTAGTGAGAAGCAAATGGTCGTGCAGAATTTGCCAGGAGTTCGTGCACAAGTGCGTCAGTTCTGCGATTCCCAGCAGAAGAGTGTCACTATGGTCCAGTTTGTGTCCAGCTGGTGTCCAGCAGTGGCAGCCCAGTGAGATTCTGCTTCATGCTGTTACTGTAACGCTGACCGTTTCACTGCAGGACAGGAGCTGGCTCAGAGGCTAAAGAGAGGCGCACGCTGTGAAAATAAATGAGTTTTGTTTTTTCCAGGTGAGACATTGTTGGTTTGGTGCATGTGGCCTGCCGTCACTCAAAGCTTTAGTTTGGCTGAATGATGTGAGTCCGCAGCCTGAACGCACCAGTGTTTACCCGTCTGCTCCCTCTGCTCCGCAGGTGTCTCTGCTGGAGTATCGTAAGAGGAAGCAGGGCGGAGTTCGAGACTCGGAGCTAATGGGAGGAAGCAGCCACGCCCGGCCCGGTTCCTACTACAGCAAGGACTCCCATCATTCTCAGAGTCCGGCCTCCCCGCACCACTCTTTCTCCTTCTCAGCTCACACGGCCGCTGTCTCACAGGTAGAGGAGGTGAGTCCCTCAGAGCACCACGGACCAGCTGGGAAACCCAAACATCAGGAGAACAACAACCAGTGGTGAGAACCTGATCTTTGTCAGCACCTGACACTTTGAGTTTTTATTCTTGATCACAGAAAACACTGATATGTGCTTTTTACAAGGATGGTCCCCACCACTGTGGAGCGTCTGAGGGAAGGCCAGAGGGTTCTGGAACGGGTCCTGAGGAACTTTAAGATGGAGCGGGTCTACAAGAGGAGCGACAGCTCCGCAGAGAGAGAAGCAGGTAGCCTTTCCTGTGACAGGTGGTTTGGAGTGGAGTTCTGATCCAGCAGTACTACAGCTGGTTCTGGTGTTTTCAGATGCAGATGGATACAAGATTGCAGCAGGGACTGTGGTTTCTTCTTCAAGGAGTCCACTCAGACACAGCCCCCCCGTCTACTCACACCAGGTGACCTGTGCTACAGCTGTCCACACAACAGACATGTTCTGCAGTCATTTAATGGAAGATTTCTGTCCTCGATGTTTGCTTTGAGGTAGTTGAAGTAACTGAGTTGATCCAAATGTTTGGAGTTCTGTGACCAATCCAAACTCAGAGTGGTGACCACGCCTTGATGAGACCCGATGAGCTTCTGATGCATTGGTAGTTACTGTCAGCTCTACAGTAAAGTTGGGGTCAGGCTCTCACAGCTGTAGAGTCCAAGCTGCACATTTTCAGTGGCAGTCTCACTGAGCTGGGACTTGGGACACCTTTGTGATACGTACGCACCAGGACTTCTCCTGTGTTCGTTTCCAGACACTGTCCTGCAACCAAACAGCAGTTGTGGCTCAAAGAGTTAGGTTCTTGCAGCAGAAAATGGAACGGGAATCTAGGGGTTGAGTCCTGGCAGAACAGAATGTTCAAAGAGCTCAACATTGATTGTGTTGGCTGAACGGTGAAGCTTATACATCCAGGTTTCCATACAGAGACCACAAGTACAGCTCAGGTGTCCCAGGAATACAGATGAGGTCACCCATCAGTCATGGCTGGCCATCGGTGATTGTTTTTAGGGTGGTGGGTAGGGCTGAGTACCAAACGTTGGTTCTTTTATGGTACCGACCGAACTGCTTCAGTCGGTATATGTATCAAAATACGCCTCTTCCTTCTGTGTCAAGTTTTGGTGTTTCAACCACGCGTCATGTTACAGCCAATGAAAGCTCTGCAAGGCAGGAAAAAACAGGACAAACACATATGTGGTTACGCCCACAGACGGGTTTCACTTGGTTTCTAAGGCAAGCCTTAATATGCAGCGCCTGAACATGCACGGAATTTAAGAGCGTAAAGTTTCTGTGTTTGTCTGCAAGGAGAGCAGACCGCAGCCTCCTCCTCTCAGCATTAAAGTCAGCCTGTGGGTGTTAGAGCCCGAATGGTCTGATTCAATATCTCCCCGACTGGACTCTGCCTCACACCGAGGACGGAGCTGTGTCTGAGTTTCATCTGGTGAGTTTACGTTTGTTAACGTTACTGCAGCTTAACACGTGCATCACAGTGAGTTAAACTAGATTCCATGTAACGCTAACTTTAAGATATTGGTGTGTAAATTTATTTTATGGCTATCTATGTAGCTAGCTAAATCAGAAGTTAACTAACTGTTGACAGTAACAGATGAATCTTAGCTTGTAAAAATGTGCTCATTTATCGGGTCAACTGGTTAAACAGTTCACTAATGTTCACTGTTTCTCCTCACGGGAGCCTCTGACCCTGATGTGATGTGAGGAGGACAAAAGGACAAAAGAAAAGTGAGGTGGGGGCCACAGGACAATCACAAACTTTGTTGTTAAGTTTTCTGCCTTTTTCTACAGTGGAGGCTGCATGGTGGAGGTAAGTAAACTGTAAAGGATGTTGTTGACCAGTTAAATTTTTATCTCTCAGCCTAGATAATGTTTTTTGATCAATAATAACACAACCATGTTGTTGCTGATGTTTTGTTCTCATGTCAATTAGGGAGATGATCAGAGCCCTGAACCCCAGAGAACCACAGAGAAGATTCAGACAGAGACACAGAGGTGCAGAATCTGCATCAACCCTAACCTTATTGAATCCAGTGACCTGCTGGTGGGATGTGAGGGACAATATGTCAAACTGACAACCAGGTATCTGTGTGTGCAACAATCATCATCTACAGCCTCAGAGTGAACATGTTCTACTGCTGGAGACACCATCAGCCAGGAGCAGCTGGTTTGTGTCCACAGAAAACAGACATGATGTTTCTGAATAAAAACTGTTCAGTGAAAAGGTCCTCAGTGTGCAGCAGTGAACATTAGACACTGACATGTCACTGGTTTGAAACTGGTCTTTTGAACTGGAAATTATTTATTTTTATGTAAGAAAACTGCTTGGAATAGAAAAATACTAAAGTTAAAAAATAAAACAAAGATTTGTACTGTAATGTGTAACGTAATTTTATTCTTGTTAGAATTAATAGTAATTATAAAATTAGTACCAAAAAAAGTACCGTTCAGGAACCAGTATCGAAGTGAAGGTACCGACACATACCATTTTTTTTTTACGTACCCAGCCCTAGTGGTGTGCATATTGATGACAATACTTTCCACATTATTTCAACTGTAGTAGTCCCTCGATTATCGCGGGGGTTGCGTTCCACACACCCTCGCGATAGGTGAAAATCCACAAAGTAGTGACGTTACATTTATTTTAGTATTTATATATATTTGAAGACTTTAGAAACCCTTCCCACACTTAAAATGTTCTTAACAATGTTCTAAACATTCTAAACAGCAGGAAACACGACTCATGACCGCAGAAGGACAGGATCGTCCCTTAGCACTTACAGTTGGCTGTCCGCAGCTACGAGGAGCTCGGCAGACTGCTGGGAGGAGTGGCCATCGCTCTGGGAGGAGTTCTGCCCGACATTCGGGCGGTCCTACAGCCCCGGACAACCGAGAGACCAGCCGAGTTTGGGTGGACGGATCGGACGGCATCTGCAGCCAGTTTCTTAGGATCCACTGTGGGATGGACCTTTACAAGAGATTCTTCCTGCCTAAAGTCATCAGCATCTATAACATCTCTTAATGAAATGAGGATAACGAGTTACAACAACAAATAATTTCCCTTTGGGATTAATAAAGTATTTTTGAATTGAATTGAATTGAATTGAATTGAACTCTCTGGACCAAAGCCTCGGTTCATTCATTCATTCAACCTTGATTTAGACAGATAAGTAACATTGAGCCTAGAAAAACACCTGGCACAAACAGCATATAGTGAAATAGACATTCCACAGAGGGGGGGAGACGATGAGAGCGGTGAGCAATGATTCATGGACGCTCTTGAGGGCACTGTAAAAGTTCTGATAAGGATGGAATAATCAGCCAGTTTCCTCTGGTGAGATCCATAAACATTCTCGAGGGATGTCGAGAAATGGCCAAGAATAACATTTATGAGAATCCAAGAGTCTTGAAACGATGACTAGGGCTGGGTACTTAAAAAAAAAAAATCTGTATCGGTCCCAGTGTCGGTACCTTCACTTCGGTGTCGGTTCCTGGACGGTTCTTTTTTTCTGTACCAATTTTGTAATTACTATTAGTTCTAACAAATAAAATTACGTTACACATTACAGTACAAATTGTGAGTTTTATTTTTTAACTTTGGTATTTTTCCATTCCAAGCAGTTTTCTGACATAAAAATAATTACAAGTCAAAAGACCAGTTTCAAACCAGTGACACGTCAATGTCTAATGCTCACTGCTACACACTGAGGACCTTTTCACTGAACAGTTTATCTTGTGTGTCTCCCTCACATTCCACCAGCAGGTCACTGGATTCACTGAGGTAGAGTTGATGCAGACTTCTGCACCTCTGTGTCTCTGCCTGAATCTTCTCTGTGGTTCTCTGGGGTTCAGGGCTCTGATCATCTCCCTAATTGACATGAGAACAAAACATCAACAATAACATGGTTGTGTTATTATTGATCAAAAAACATTATCAAGGCTGAGATATAAAAGTTTAACTGGTCAACAAAATCTTTTACAGCTTAACTTACCTCCACCATGCAGCTCCACTGTAGAAAAGACGGCAAACTTTTAACAACAAAGTTTGTGATTGTCCTGTGGCCCCACCTCACTTTTCTGTCTGTCCTCACATCTGGGTCAGAACCTCCTGTGAGGAGAACATGAACATTAGTGAACTGTTTAAGCAGCTGACTGGATGGATGAGCAGTTTTACAAGCTAAGATTTATGTTACTGTCAATCTTTAGTTAGCTTCTGAGTTTAGCTAGCTACATAGATAAAATAAATTTACACACTAATATCTTAAAGTTAGCGTTATTTCACCGCGATGTACGTGTTAAGCTGCAGTAACGTTAACAAACGTAACAAAGTCCATGCTCAATAATCCAGGTATAAAATCCAACATTTTTCAGTCAGGTTAACAAACGTAAACTCACCAGCTGAAACACAGACACAGGTCCGTCCTCGGAGTTCTTTGATGAAGATGAGTCCGGCTGTGGACTGTTAATTCAGTTCGTTTCACACACACAGAGACTGACTAACGCTGAGAGGAGGGGGGGGGAGGCTGCTTCTTGTCTTCTTGCAGAGAAACACGGAGCAACTTTCTGCTCATAAATTGAAGCCGTTCGACAACACACGCGCTGCACACATGAACCCCGTCTGTGGGCGTCACCAGCACCACAGACATACATTATACATAGATTAGGTGTGGCAGCTCTATACAGCTCTGGGTGTAAACACGTAGTCTGTTTCGTCACATGTCTGGTGTTTTACCTGCCTGCGTGCTGAAACCACGTGACACCTTACAGCCAATACCGATACTTGACACCGAAAAAAGAGTGACGTTTCAATACATAAACCGACCGGTGCAGTTCGGTCGGTGCCATAAAATAACCTTGGTTTGGTACTCAGCCCTAGCTGAAACCCATGTCTTGCATACATCTGTGCATGGTGGTTCTTGAAAGCACTGACTCCAGCTGCAGTCCACTCTTTGTGAATCTCCCCCACATTTTGGAATGGGTTTTGTTTCACAATCGTCTTCAGGGTGCAGTTATCCCTATTGCTTGTACACTTCTTTCTACCACATCGTTTCCTTCCCTTCGCCTCTCTATTAACGTGCTTGGACACAGAGCTCTATGAACAGCCAGCCTCTTTAGCAATGACATTTTGTGTCTTGCCCTCCTTGTGCAAGGTGTCAATGGTCGTCTTTTGGACAACTGTCAAGTCAGCAGTCTTCCCCATGATTGTGTAGCTACAGAACTAGACTGAGACCATTTAAAGGTCTTTACAAGTGTTTCAAGTGAATTAGCTGATCAGAGTGTGGCACCAGGTGTCTTCAATATTGAACCTTTTCACAATATTCAAATTTTCTGAGATACTGAATTTGGAGTTCTATTTCGTATAGTCTTCGCCCTTTAAGACTGTCGCTGATGGGTTTATCCCGATATGTGAAGCATTGCACTGAAAAATTTAGTCCACGCCCACCTGCTGTGTGGGCCCCACCCGGTCCGTATAAATTACGTTAAGAGCGGGAAATCGGCTCCCATTTTTTCTTCAGCAAGTTAATAGCACTGTCAGAAGAACAAAGAAGGAAAGTTGTGTAGATGACCAACCTTTGTTAAGAATGCTTGGCCCGGCACGTCGACCTCCGGTCGTCCAGTGAGCTCTCCTCCCCGAGGGGAAGCTGAAGAGCAGTCTTGTTTCAAGGTAAGCGCCGAGGAGTATTTCTCAGTGACAGGTCGCTACACGCTGGACAACGCCATCTTGTAATTTTCCTCTTATCGCCGACCCTCGGAGCGAATCGGATGGTTCCTCCGGGACAGGCAGCGCTCAGCTGCAGCCACCGCTGCTCATTCCCTCATGGAGAGTGTAGTGTCGGTGGAGGGGGGGCTGAGCGAATGCTCACCTCATCCCACCTCGTTTCGCATAGGCGATCACACCGCTCCCGGCCGACGGCGCCCTCTGGGGTTGCCTGGCGTAACCCAGGAGGCGGCTGACATGAAGGGACCCTTTTTTACGTCCCACGCCTTTTCCCGCCAGTTCGGATTATCCGGCGGGAAGGTTGTTTTTTCTAGGTTCCTCCGGTTAGCGTAACCCAGATGGTGACACCGCTCTCCAACTGAGCTCACCAGCATGCGTTCCAGACGGCTGCAGCGAACAACACTTTACGCTGTTGGTGTACACGTTCAGAGGCGGGAAGAGACGGTGGGCCCTCTGACCTTTGGCTCGCTCCGCTCTCGTAGCGGCTGTTCGCTAACGACGCTATTGGCCCCTGCAGTATGCTCCGTCTACAGGGCAGCTGACGTCATCCCCAACCGGTGCGCCTCTTTTGCTGTCTGCCGCCCCGCATCGCAGCCGGAGAACGAGGTCCCAGAGGTTCTCCTGGCTCATCACTCCACCTTCCTCTCAGGAGAGCTGCAGAAGCTTCTGTTGGAGGGCCTTTTTCATCAGCGAGAGATCATTTCAAGATGCTCCATGGCTGCACAACGCCTCCCCAGCTCTGCTACGCGAGCCCCTCCCGTCAGACGTCCTCGGCATCCGGAAGTTCAAATTTTCCCGGACTCCGCCATAAGGGGGCCCTCTAAGACAACAAACAGAGCTCAAGGGAAGATAACCAGGTGTCACATCAACTTTTTCATGATGTTCTTGTTTTATGACCAGCACCTGTAGAGTTTCTTGTGCACAGAGAATGTGCGAGCAGTGCACGATTTGCACATGTGCACAGGTTAGAGGGAACAGTGAAAGTAGAGGCATGGCAGCTGGCCTGGGACCCTAAAGTCCCAGGTTCGATCCCCTGTCACTGCACACCTCGTGGTGTCTCTGGGCAGCACACCTCATCCCCAAAATGCCCCCTGGGTGCCTTCAATATCTGCCCACTGCACCACCTGATGGTGGATGGTTTAAATGCAGAGACTACCATTGTATGGAAACCTACAGTGTTGACATTATTATTATTATTAATAAAGTGTTGTGTGTGTTCAGTCCACAGACGTCCTCCAGCAGACCGACAGCCCTTCGTCCACCTACAGCCCCACATCAGGACAGAGTTTCTACTCCCGCCAGTCCTCCTCCAGTCCCACCCCACCATGTGTCCCAGACTCCAGGCAGCCCGGGGGCTCCGTACACCAGCAAAGCGGCAGCAGCAGCCACCTAAAGACGAGCAGCCTGGGGGGGGGGGCAGCCTCAGGACCGAGGACCCACGGTCAGACTAAAGTAGACCAGGGTGTTCAGCAGGCCTCTAGCCCGGTTCAGGTGGGGCTGGAGGTCGGCTCTAGACTGCAATGTGCCCCTGGACATTACCCTCAGCAAGTGGGGGCTCAGTCAGTTCCAGCACGCCCCCCTCCAGGTAGCTGGTGCAAGGACACAGTCAGGAAGCTGTTGGGACCTCCTTCATGTTGAGTGGGGGGGTCAGGAAACACATGATGGGATGAAGAACTTCAGCTTGTGCAGCGTTTCCTCTTTTCATTCTTCAGAAACAGTTTCTGCTCCAAAATCAACCTTCAAGAAATGAAAACATGAAAAACACCTGGAGGAATGTTGAAGACACAGGTCCAACTCAAATCACCTCCGTTAGAAACACGTTGGCATCAAACGGGACGGATTAAAAACATTCTGCGGAAAAACGTGGGAACAAACCCTGCAGGACGTCAGGTGGACCTCCAGAACCTGCAGGACGTCAGGTGGACCTCCAGAACCTGCAGGACGTCAGATGGACCTCCAGATCGACCCGCTGGGTTTTCTACAAGATGTCCAGTTGTGTTAGAAGAAAGAAGGTCCGACAGACTCTACGGTGGTTTGTAGTTGTTGGGAGCTCCTCATGTTGTTCTGCTGTTTCATGGTTCTGGTTCTGTTCTCCCATCTCGACTGAAGTCTTCAGATTTATTTTAGGACTCGACTGTAGAACTGATTTAGGATGTCTCAGCAGTCTTTGTGCTGAGTTAAACATCCTGTTCTGGTTCTGACCCGTCTGCGTTCCTCCATTAGCTGAGGTCTGCTCAGATCAACAGAACCACAGAGGTCCAGTCCAGGAACACAATCTGACGTTAAAGCTGTTTGTTTTTACTGCTGTCACTCTGGCTGTTGTCCGATCCGTCTCTGAGAGGAACCAGACCGCTGGGGGTCCATGAGGAACCAGACCGCTGGGAGTCCACGAGGAACCAGACCGCTGGGGGTCCATGAGGAACCAGACCGCTGGGAGTCCACGAGGAACCAGACCGCTGGGTGTCCACAAGGAACCAGACTGCTGGGAGTCCACGAGGAACCAGACTGCTGGGGGTCCACAAGGAACCAGACTGCTGGGAGTCCACGAGGAACCAGACCGCTGGGGGTCCACGAGGAACCTGAGCTGGGGGTCCACAAGGAACCAGACTGCTGGGGGTCCACAAGGAACCAGACTGCTGGGGGTCCACGAGGAACCAGACCGCTGGGGGTCCACAAGGAACCAGACTGCTGGGAGTCCACGAGGAACCAGACTGCTGGGGGTCCACGAGGAACCTGAGCTGGGGGTCCATGAAGCTGCTCCGTCTCTTCTTCACAGATCAGTGGGAGGGAATAGACGGTTCTCCAGATCACCGTGACACCCCAGCCCCTGTTCCACTCCGTTTGAGACTTTGAGGGCCAGATGTGGGACAGCTGTGTGAAAGACTTAAAGGGCACTCCCCACCCTGTCCTGCCCCCGGGGGGAGTTGATGAATGTTGGACAGATCAAAGACGTTAAAAAGTTGAGGCCAAATCGAAGCAGCACCTTAAACGACCGACAGGACGCTGGTTCTGTTGTACAGACCCAATGTGCTCGACCCGGTTCAGTTTCTGGCATGGTGTTGTTGTGAAGGTTCTGGAGGACCACCTGACATGTGCTCCTCCACTCTTGTTTTTGGAAACATCCTGTTTTCTTCAGTTGTTTTTTATTTCCACAGATCAAAGTAGAAACTATTTGAATTGTTCTCCAAGAGATTTAACCGTAAAGAGATCTAAAGCTTTTGATAATAAAATCACTGTGGTCCTGGACTGTGCAGCTGTCACCTCATTGAACCTCCTCACAACTTCTACATCTCTCCACACTTCCAGCATTTTTTGACCACTTTCATCAAATGACCACTTTCAGCCACAGTTTTGTGATGGATGACAAAGTATTAGAGTTAAAAAATAAAACTAGGATTTCTAACATGTTTATGCTCCTTCAGTGTGCCCTGTCATGGAGCCAAGAGGGGGGATTCTAACACACACACACACACACACACACACACACACACACCCGGGTCTGTCCATGCATGTGAGCGTGAGATCCAGAAAAATAAGCAGGGTACCGACTTCCATGTTGGTGTGTGGAAACATCTGGGTGTAAGAAAAGTTCCTAATCAAAGGAGGGCTGCCACGTCATCCCAATCCAGCATGACCACCGTGTGTGTGCATGCACGTGCAAACTGACCACACATCATTAGAGGACATTTTCTTGCGCATTAATCTAGTTTCCTCGGATGATTGGGATGGCTGAAGATTAATCTATGATGGCCAAGGATACCAATGGCCACCCCTGGCTTTCTGCCTGGCCTCAGACAGGCACAGAATAAAACAATAAATCTCTTAACTACCCATGTGAAGATCTTGCACCAAAAACATTTAGGTTTACCTCTGTTCAATTCCTGTCCAAAAACAAACACACCCCTCCCCAAAACTACAAACATTCACTGTTCAATCTAAAAAAGTTAAGTCTGGTCCTCTGGACATTCAAAAAAAAAAAATGTAGAAACGTTTCGTCTCATCCAAGAGACTTCCTCAGTCTGAGGTGCTGTTTTCAGCTCAGTCTCTTAAATAGCACCTTCTCAGGGTGGATCAACCAGTTTGCTGCTGACAACCAAAACCAGCTGATCACATGCTCAAGAAGGACCATCAGCCTAACAACGGATCTTCTAAGTTGGCAGCTCAGAACACCACATCCAGAACACCATGGACTTTGTGGATAAGGTGAGGGATGTCATCATGGAGACTGATGAAACAATGGTCTCTTTTGATGTCACATCACTCTTTACGTGCATTCCTGTTGATGATGCAGTAGAGGTGGTCAGTTTAAGATTAAAATCAGACACCACTCTGAGCAGCAGGACCACACTTTCCACAGAACAACTGTGTCAACTCTTGAAACTGCCTGCAGTCAACCTACTTCACATATGGGGAGCAATATTATAGGCAGAAACATGGGTGTGCTATGGGGTCTCCAGTTTCTCCTATTGTTGCCAACCTGTACATGGAGGAGGTAGAAAAGAGAGCCTTGACGTCCTTTTCAGGGACACCACCAAGTCATTGGTTCAGGTATGTTGACGACACCTGGGTTAAAATTAAATCTCAGGAAGTCCAACATTTTACTGACCACATCAACTCTGTGGATAAATACATCAAGTTCACACGAGAAGATGTAAAAAATGGCAAGTTGGCTTTCTTGGACTGTGAGGTCTCAGTCTCTGATAGAGGACATTTGCAAACCGAGGTGTACCACAAACTCACCCACACAGACCAGTATTTGCAGTTTGACTCCCATCACCCTTTGGAGCACAAGTTAGGAGTCATCAGGACTCTGTACCACAGAGCAGACAGCGTCCCCACTAGCTCAGGAGCCAGGCAGAAGGAGAAATCCCACACAAGACAGGCTCTAGAGCAATGTGGATATCCTAACTGGGCCTTCCTGAAAGAAGAAAAGAAACCCAAACAGGACTCCAGTCAGCCATCAGGTGAAAAGGAGGAACCCAGACCCAGACCAGTGGTCATTCCTTATGTTGAGGGAGTATCAGAGAAACTGAGACGTTTATTTTCTAAACATAACGTCCCAGTGGCTTTTAAACCCCAAAATACATTAAAGACTGGTTCATCCCAAAGATCCAGTCCCCCGGCACAAACAGAGTAATGTTGTGTATGCTGTTCAGTGTCAGGAGGGTGATCAGTCTTACATCGGGGAAACTAAACAGCCACTGGCCAAAAGGATGGACCAGCACAGAAGATCAACATCATCAGGCCAGGACTCTGAGGTCTACACTCATCTCCAGGCCAGAGGTCACTCTTTCAGGGATGAAGATGTTCACATCCTGGACAGAGAGGAACGATGGTTTGACAGAGGAGTAAAGGAGGCCATCTTTGTGAAAAGAAATCGTCCATCATTAAACAGGGGTGGAGCCTCCAGGTTCAACTGTCCCCCTCTTACAATGCTGTGATTGCTAGTATCACTCAGCCCTCTGTGAACAGTAAACAGCCATCAGGTGCTAATGATCCATTGTTAGGCTGATGGTCCTTCTTGAGCATGTGATCAGCTGGTTCTGGTTGTCAGCAGCAAACTGGTTGATCCTCTCTGAGAAGGTGCTATTTAAGAGACTGAGCTGAATACAGCTCCTCAGACTGAGGAAGTCCTCAGGATGAGAGACGAAACGTTTCTATATTTTTTTGTTGATTTGCTTTGTTTTGTTTTTTTGAATGTCCAGAGGACCAGATTTAACTTTTTTAGATTGTCATCCCTTATGTTGCTGGAGTATCAGAGAAATTCAGAAGGATCTTCAACAAACACAACATCCCAGTACATTTCAAACCCAGCAGGACTCTCAGACAGAGGCTGGTCCACCCTAAAGACAAAACACCCATACACAAACAGAGTGGTGTAGTGTATGTGGTCCAGTGCAGCGAGGACTGTCCAGACCTCTACATTGGAGAAACTAAACAGCCTCTTCACAGACACATGACTCAACACAGGAGAGCCACCTCCTCTGGACAAGATTCATCTGTTCACCTCCACCTCACAGATAAGGGACACTCCTTTGAGGACCAGAATGTGCACATTTTGGACCGAGAACACAGATGGTTTGAGAGGGGGGTGAAGGAAGCAATTTATGTAAAAAGAGAAAAGCCGTCTCTTAACAGAGGAGGAGGCCTCAGATTTCCACTTTCAAAAACCTATCATGCAACTTTAAAACAGATTCCCAGCCGGTTTCACACCTGATGAGAACAGAGGGGCCTCGACTGTGAATTAGAGGAACAAAGACCTACTGTTTAGGTGTTTAGGTGTGACTTGTCAATCTACATATGTGTGTGTGTCTTATCTCACTCAGCCTTATAACCTGAACCTCTCACTCTCTGCTCTTTGAATAGAAGATGATCCTCGGATGAGGAGCGAAACGTCTTCTGTTACAAATAAAGTCCAGTTGTTTTTGTATTGAAAGTTTTTTGAATTCATCATGTCCTGGATGACTGAGAATCTTCACCAGCATGTGGGTTCAGAAACCTCCGGATTCAAAGAGGGGGGCCACTGGTGTCGTGTAAATGATCAGCAGAACCTTAGAGAGAAAGAAGTGGATTCACTCAAAATACACGCCGTGTAAACAATTCAATTCAAAAATACTTTATTAATCCCAAATGAAAATTATGTGTTGTTGTAACCATAGATATATATAAACACTAGATCCAGCATTGACCTCTATCGCCTATTGGCGCTGACGAGCCGTAGCGC